TTTTTTTTTTTTTTTTTTTTTTTTAGCAATTTTGAGTCCCTTGAATTTCTATATGAATTTTAGGATCAGCTTGTCAACTTTCTGCAATGAAATCATTTCATTTTTTTGATAGGGATAGTTTTGACTGTTTGGATCAGTTTGGTGAGATTTGATGACAGAGGACAATGTTAAGTCATCTTCTAATCCGTAAATGTGGCATATCCATTTCTAATCTCTTAAACTAGCTTTGACAGTCTAGTTCTTCTAGATATAAATGCTCATATTTAGGTATGTGTATTTTCCAAGTAAAGCATTATTGGAATTGAAGTCCTCATTCCTGGATTGTCAGGCACAGTACAGAGGTTTAACTGTTGCTCTCAATCAAAGATTAATTGAATTGATTTAAAACAGGTATATGCAAATTATGCAAAGAATGTAATAATGATGATTATGTCAGATGCACCACAGGTGGGTAGTGGGACTCTGGGCATTGTCACTTTGGTTAAGTATTCTAAGAGGCCAAATAGAGTTTGTTATCTGTGACAGAGGACTTTAATGCATTAGTGATGAAAAAACTGCTCACCCCTGACTATTGTGATCTCCCAGAAAGTGTAAGGCAATGCAGTAGTGTCTCTTGTACAGTGTGCTTGAATACAAACATTCACACCATTTCTTGGTTATAGTAGAGCTCCACCTATGCCAGCCTCATCAAAGGCTTGAAATAGGCAGGTGATATAAATATGTAGCATAATGTACTCTGTTTTTCTGGGGGTTTTCTAGGGGAGGGATAATCAATGATCACTCACTTGCAAAATCTAGATTTTTGAAAACAATGTAATTTTAGCTGATTTTCTTGTATGTGTTGTTCCTTTCTAGTTTCTTATTCCTTCCTGTTGCTTGTTGATTCAAGAGTTGTGTGAAGGAATCCATTTTGTGAGTCTTGGTGCTCTTCTGCTTGATTATTGATACTATGGGAGGTGGGACCAGCCTCACAAACACCTGCTTGCCTTCTGGTTTAGAGTAGTGTTTTGGGGAGAGATGGAATAAATGCCTGCTTGTCAAATGTGGCCATAGGGTTTCAGGGCATGTTGTTTGTTTACTCTCCCTGCCTACTGTCACCCCCCCAATACACAGTTAATAAATGAAAAATTATTTCATTTATATCCCCCAATTAGAGATACATTCTTTTGGTTTAAGGTTTCCATACTTCATACTTCGATATTACCCTTGGCCATCTGATGAATGTAGTGATACTCAGCAGTGAGGTGTGTAGCACTTTTTCTAGGATGACTTCACAAAACTTTATTGTCAGACTTCATATAATGATAGCTCTGATGGCCATTGTGAAAAAAAGAGTTCCAAAATTGCTTTGAAAGGTAGACTAGGTTCTGGTGTTAGGGCAAAGCTTCCCTAGAGAAGTACTTCAAAGGTGACTGTAATGATACTCAGCAGTGAGGTATGTAGCACTTTTTCTAGGTGAGTTTCCTAACTCGATTTCCTGACCTTGTATATCACATTTTATTAATCCACTCATGAATTGATGGGCTCTTGGGTTATTTTCACGTCTTTGCAATTGTAAATTGTGCTTCTATAAACATTTGAGTGCAGATGTCTTTTTTATAAAATGTCTTTTTATCCTTTGGGTAAATACCCAGTAGTGGGATTGCTGGATCAAATGGTAGGTCTACTTAATTCTCTCCAAGGTATCCCATACTCCATACTCTTTTCCATAGAGGCTGTACTAGTTTGCAATCTCACCAAAAGTGTACAAATGTTCCTTTCTCTCTGCATCCAGCATTTGTTCTTTTGGGACTTATTGATAAAAGCCATTCTCTCTGGAGTTATCTCATTATGGTTTTGATTTGCATTACTCTGTAAAGTAGAAATTTTAAAGTCATTCTGGGAACTAGGGTTAATCAGAAGTCAGCATTGTGGATTAGCATCCAAGATGGAGTTACTTTTAGCCTCCACGAGGTGTCTGGAATCATGCAAGACAACATCCATAGACACTATTGTTTGACCTAAGGGCAGTCTTTCTTGGTTCTCAGGATTGTTTTTGATGATCCCCATCTACCCCAGGAAATCTGTTAGAGCAGTGTTTGGCAAAGTACAGGTCTATGTACTGCACCTAGCCTACCACTTGTTTTTTGTAAATGAAATTTTATTGGAACATAACTGCTTTCTTTCATTTGTGTGCTATTTATGTCTGTTTTCATGTTACAATGGCAGAGTTGAATAGCTGGAACAGATTTGGCTTATAATGCCTAAAATACACATCTTGCCCTTTGTAAGAAGTTTGTTATCAAGTGGTGGAGAGAGTCTAGACTTTAGGAAGGTTAAATATGGATCTTCATTTAATTTAGACTGCTTAACCTCTGATCTTACTATTACATGGACTCAAGGGCAGCAGTATTAAGGAAAAATTACTACTTATATCACAATGAATGTTTCATCAGGAAAAAAAGTTTAACTTTAAAAGTATTCTTTTTTGTTCCCTTTGGAGACAGTCTTTTTTTGTCACTAAGGCTACAGTTCAGTGGCCTGATCATAGCTTACTGCAGCTTCAAACTCCTGTGTTCAAGCTATCCTCCTGATACAGCCTCCTGAGTAGCTGGTACTATAGACACATGCCATCATGGCTGGCTAACTTTTTAAAAAAAATTTTTGTAAAGACATGGTCTCACCATGTTGCTCAGGCTGGTCTCAAACTTCTGGCCTCAAGCAATACTTTTGTTTCGGCCTCCCAAAGTGCTAGGATTATGGTTGTGAGCCACTGCACCCACATGAAAAATATTCTTACAACTAATGGTAGCAGTGCTGTGTGTTAAACGTAAATAACCAACAGAAAATTTCTCTCTTATTATCCATGTACCTGGTCCATCATCCTCTTTGAGGTGCTCCCATTTTATTACAAGAGAGAAGTATTAAAATATTTCCCCTAGACATTCATTATAATTCTTTTAAATATAATTATGAATACAAATATGAAATGCTCGGCTCACTCTTGGAAATTTGAAAAGTATTTTAGCTCAGTGTGTTTTTTTCTCTCTTTACTTTCTCTCAGTTTGAAATCCATGGCCCAAAATGACTCTAGCAGTGGAGAGTCTCTTCCATGAAGACGACGACCAGATAGGAGGCTGGGATGAGCATGCCACTGCATCAGATCTCTGCCATTCCATCCCAGGATGCCACTTCTGCTAGAGTCCACAGAAGTAAGACCAAAGAAAAGGAGAGGGAAGAACAGGTAATGGAGGAATACTTTTTAGTTTTATTTATTTTTATTACATTTTTAGTAAATAAAATCTGGACTAATACTTAAGCTCTAAAGATAAGGGTTTTCTCAGACAGTAGGTTAATAAGCACACAAGCAGTTGTGCTGAGGAGAAATGAGGTTTGATATATTTCTAGGTTGTTGTGTTTAGATTTTAGGATAAACTGTTTATAAAAGACTTATTTTTGGTTAAGTCTGCCTGATTATATCTTGTAAATCACTGAGACAAAGTACTTTGGAGTCTCAGAACATGATGCAAAGCATAAATTTATTTGAACAAAAATTTGTGAGCGTTCTGCTTGGTAGAAAGGGGGGTATCATAGTTAACACTGCAGAACCTGTCTCTGTCCTCTTATGGCTTGTAATCTGGCTTGACAATTAAATATACATTAGAATATAATAAGGTCAATGATGGAGGAAGTTCAGGGCCACCTAATCCTTGCTCAAGAGGTCAAAAAAGGCTTCTTGGAGAAAATGGCATTTACATAGAGAACTGGAATGGTAACCTAGTGCTAGTTAGGAAAAAGGAAGAAGGTAGTGTTCCAGGTAGAGAAATGCTACATGTGGAAGGCCTAAAGGTTACAGCAAGGTAAATTTGAGGAGCTAAGATAGAATAACTTGAACATGAAGGTTTAATTTGATAGTGGCAAAATAGGAGGTTGAAAGAGATAGCAGAAAGTTGCCTTAAGAAGTTTATATTAATCATTGCAGGAGAGTGATTAGATTTTTGTTCTTAAAATCTCAGTTTGCAGTTTAGGGATTGAATCTAATGAGTGGTAGGGAAACTAGTTAGAGGATTATTTAATAATGTCCTTAGTTTTAGTTCAGGTTCGGCAAACTTTCTCTGTAAAGGGTCAGATAATATTTAAAAGTTTAGGCCAGGCAATCGCAGCCATTCAGATCTACCTTTGTGTGAAAACATCCTAAGATCATATATAAATGTCTAGACATGGCTGTGTTCCAGTTCAATTTTGTTTTTAAAAACAGGTGGCAGATTTGGCCCAGAAGCCAGTCCCTGCAGATTCTTGGCTTACAGAAAAGTAATGGGTGACTTCATCTAGAATAGGGGTAATGGAGATGGGGAGATATATTGATTTATTATTCCACTGGGCTTGATCATTGTGTGTGGAGAGGGATAGGGAGCAGTAAGGAATGACTCCCTGCTTTCTTCCTTGCTTTTACAAGCTGTTTTACAAGCATTTGCTGATTAGTTCTTATAGCATTCCTATTTTATAGTTAAACTTAGTCTTCGCCCAAGTCTATAAAACTCCTTATTTAATCAAGAATTAATAAGTCTCATTTGAGTTAGAATCATAGTAATTGATGGGATACCAGTTTTTCCACTATTCCATAAAGAATTTTTTTTAAAAAACAAATACAGTTCTTAAAGTACATGGACTA